ATATTGGAAAGGAAGAAGTAAAATTGTCTCTATTTGCAGATAACATGGTATTATGTATAGAGGCCCCTGAAGCCTCCAGCAAGAAACCGATAGAGCTAATCAATGAATTAAATAAAGTTGCAGGATAAAAAATCAATGCAAAAAATATGAACTGTCAGAAACAGAAATTAAGAAAATAATCCTATTTGCAATTGCATCATAAAAAAAGATACCTAGGAATAAATTTAACCAAGAGGGTGAAAGACCCACATGTTGAAAACGACAAGACATTGATGAAAGAAATTGAAGAAAACATAAATAAATGGAAAGATATTCCATGTTCATGTATTGGAAGAATTAATAGTGTTAAAATGTCCATATTACCCAAAGCAATCTATAGATTCTATGCAATCCCTGTAAAAATTCCAATGGCATTTTTCACAGAAATAAAACAAATAATTCTAAAATTTGTTTAGAACCACAAAAGATCTAATAACCAAAGCAATCTTGAGAAAGAAGAACACAGCTGAAGGCATCATGCTTCCTGATTTCAAACTATATTACAAAGCAATACTAATCAAAACATTTTGGTACTGGCATAATAACAGACACGTAGATTAATGGAACAGAATAGGGAGCTCAGAAATAAACCCACGCATATATGGTCAATTAATTTTCAACAAAGCAGCCAAGAATATACATTGAGGAAATGATGGTCTCTTCTTAAATGATGCTGGGAAACTGCAAAGTCACATGCAAAAGAATGAAACTGGATCCCAATCAAAAATGTCCTGTGAACAATTGCATCACTCATAACCTGCTGTATTCTGAGAAATATAATTGAGGTCAGAAACTTATGTGACGAAAGTATGGGATCTTCTAAACCTGAAATTCATTAACACAACAAAACACAAATGCAAACACAAGCAACTTTCCTTAAGAGAATAATATGCTTGGTTACTAGGAAAAAAGGTTTTCCTATTATGAGAGAAAAAGTCTGAATTATTTAAAGTTATAAGCTTGATTTTCATGCCATAAGTTTGTATTTTGTAAACTAATAAAATGAAGAAATGTGTGTGTATGGAATCAAGGAGAGTGCTTCCAACTTAGCTGTGTAAATTAGTCTAAAATGAGTTATACGGGAAAATTCACTAAAAAGAAAATTATGTAGTCTTAGGTATCATGTTTACTCATGATGATGATTGTTACCATTATCTTTCTAGTTATTTTCAATAGTCAATAAGAAGTGAAAATATTCTTTTAATTTGATGACAAAATGAATTCATTTTCAAGGAATTTTTTGAAACAGAGATAATTGATTGCCAAATGACTTTAACTAAAGGAAATATTTAAGGTCCTGAAGATAAAACAGTTATTCTAGGTGAAAACTTGGATATGCAGAAAGGAAAGAAGAGTTGAAGAAAAGAAAAATGCGGATATATCTAAATGGACAGCGAATGGATAAAGTGTTAAAGTTTCAAATTTTAAAATATATATTTGTATTAGAATTCAAGGGGACAAATACAGCATAAGCAGTAAACAAAAGTAGAGTTTAGTTAGATCTTTTCACTGCTTGAGAAGGGGTAAAGCACTAATTTGTTAGACTTTAATGAGTAAAGATTGTATGTTGTAAAATACAGGGCACTAATAAAAGAGTACTTAAAGCATCTTGAATTAACAAGTTTTTATAGAAGAAAATGAAAACAAAAACATTTATAATGAAAGATAAGAAAACAAAGAATAAACAGAGTTCAAGGAAATGGTAGTGTTCATCCAAAATTAAATAACTATATTATATTTAACAATTAATTACATCATATATTTACACATATAAATAAAATATATAAATAATACTATATTATATAATAATTTAATAATTATATTAAATATATTGAATAATTTTCAATGTAAATTCCAAGAATGTTGATATTTAAAATAATTGTTTGCTGTCTTAGTGAGGTGTTCCTTTAAAGTAAGCATAAAGAAAATAAAAGTAAAAAGAAGAAAAAATACACCACGCAACACAAGACAGTAGAAAATTGTTATAGTTAATGTACTGTCACAATATAAAGCAAGAACCATTGTTGGAAATGATGAAGCATGTTTCATAAGGATAGATTGAGTATCCAAACCATTAGCAATTTTTTTTTGAATCTGTACATAATAATACAAATTCAACATATATTTGAAAAAAGTAAGGAAGTAAATAATCATAAATGGAGATTTAAACAAGTCTCTCACTACTTATCAAACAAGCAGATATATCAGTAAGGCCATAGAAAGATTTAAACTAGACAAAAATACATATATTCACAACACACACACATACTATATGCTAGTACAGAATATGCATAAGTTCACATGGAAATTTTCCAAAACTACACTATATACTCTTATTTCCAGGCATATTAATATAAAATATATAGAACTGTGGTGTCACTGCAGTAACTTCTAGCCAAGTTTGGCAATTGGGCACTCGAAATGTGGGTATTCAAATTTAATTTTTAATTAATTAAAAATAAATAAAATTTTAAGATTGGTTCCTTAGTCACAATAGCCACATTTAAACAGAGATGTACAATCTTTCCAGCTTCACAGAAAATTCTCTAACTACAGTTTACCAAAAATAGTAGTCAATAACCAGAAATTGGAAAATCTTTATATGATTTTAGATTCAGTTGTAAATTTATAAATATCATATGGGCCAAAGAAATGATCACAATGAACGTTCACAATTTTTATATGAATTACGAGGAAAATATAACAGCAAAAATCTGTCGTGTGAAATACTAATTGCCTTAAATGCATATCTTACAAAAAAGCAGAAATTGGTGCATACAAGAAACTAAAAATAGAAAAGCTAAAACTAGGTGAAATTAAATCCAAATGACGTAGAAGGAAGAAAACAATAAATAATACAAAATCAAGACAAAGAACAAAATTACAGTAGAGAGGATCAACAAAGGTCAAAGTTATTCTCATTGAAAACACTTAATAAAATTAATCAAAGACTGTTGGGGCCAACCTGGTGGCATACGGGGCTGGCCTGGTGGCATAGTGGTTAAGTTTGTGTGCTCCGCTTTGGTGGCCCGAGGTTTGCAGGTTTGGATCCCAGGCGTGGTCCTATGCACCTCTTATCAAGCCATGCTGTGGCAGGTGTCCCACGGGTAAAGTAGAGGAAGAAGGGCACGGATGTTAGCCCAGGGCCAATCTTCCTCAGCAAAAAAAAAACAAACCAAAAAAAACAAAATAAAGACTTGAAGAAAAAATTGAGAAGACAAATCTAGGTTAAATGTGGGGCTACCAGTATGGTTTTTAAAGATATTAAAAACATAATAAAGCCACATTATGAATACGTGTTAATATCTGTATGAAATAGAAAATTCCTGAAGAATGCAAATTACCAAAATATAGTACAACAAATGGAAACCTGAGTAAATCAAAAATTAAAGAAATTCAGTTCATTATATAAACCTTCCTACAAAAAAATTCTACAACCTCAGATGGTATCAGTAGTGAATAACAATACTTGAAAATATAATATAATATACTCTTACACAAAGACTTCCAGGTAATAGAAAAAGAGGAATGCTTCCCAATATAGCCTTAATAACAAAGCCTATGAAGTACACAACATAACTGAAAATGCAGTCTAGTCTCTTTGTGAATGTGGATGAAGAAAAACTACTTAATCTAGATATAATGTATGCACTGATTTTTAAAAAATCACAGTAGAGAGTGATCCCTGTGGTTTTATTTTAGAGATGCAAGATTAGTTAACATTTGAAAGAAATAAAGATAATTTACCTCATAAACACTATATAGAGAAAACATTTATTATTTCAATTGATGGGAAAATAATAAAAATGTAACATCAATTACTTATAAAATCTATTAGAAAAATGGGAATATTATGGAGTTACTTTAACATGACAAAGGTACGATGAAAAAAAACCCTTAAAACAAACCTCATACTTAAGGATGAAATATTTTTCCCTAAAATAGGGAAGGATAAATAGAGATGTTTACTGTACCTTTTATTCAACTTTGGAAATAAAACCCCAGACTGTGAAAATAAGTCAAGAAAGAAAAAATCATTGCACACGGAAAGAAGAAATAAAAGCGTGATTATTTAAATATGAAATAGTTGTTTATATAAAAAATCCTGAAGAATATATATTTGAAATGATAGAATTAATAGATAAAATCAGTGAAGTCATTGAATATAAGATCAGCATGTAAACCCAAATTGTATTTCTATTTAAAGCAGTAAAAATTCCTAAAGGAAATTTAAAAATAAGGATGTCGTTTACAAAAGAATGACTGTGAAATACCTGTATTTCTGTAAGACTTCAAAATAGAACAATACAAAATATAACAGAGAAATTAAAGAAAACCTATTATGTGGAAGGATAAAGCATGATATTGACTGGAAGAGTCAATATTATAAAGATGACTAATCTTTATACATTACTTTAAAGATTAAATGCACTCCCAAACATCATCATAGGAGTTTTTTGAAAAGCTTTATTGAGGTGTAATTTAAACAGCATAAAATTCATCCACTTAGAGTGTATAAATCAGGGGATTTTAGTATATTCACAGAGTCTGCAACCATCACCACTAAAAAAATTTAGAAAGTATTCATCACCACAAAAAAGAAACAATTTACTGATCGGCAGTCATTTCCTATTCCTCCTCCCCTCAGCCCTTGGCAACCACTAATGCACTTTCTGTCTCTTGTGGGTTTACCTATTCTTGATCTTTCATATAAGTGGACTCACATAACACATGTTCTTTTAAAAAGGTTGTATACCACAAATATAATAATGTTGAACAAAAAAAGCTAGACACAAAAGTAATGATATCTGTACTTTTTGGTGTGTTTATTTCAATAATTGTTTTTGCAAAAACTTTTCATTATTAGAATAATATAATCTATTTTAAGAGTTATGCAATGGTAATATGATTTCCATTTTATGAAATAGAATGTTACTCGACAGAATCCAAATTCAGATGTTTCAATTCTGAAGCTTATGTTTGCAATTATATCTATTTAGAGATCCACAACTCTCTGCCCTGAGGCCAGATGAGTGTAGTATAGCGCAGTTATGTTTACCAGATGATGATTCTGTTACCCTGTAATGGAGAAAAATGCATAATTCTGTTTATATATGGTATGGGGGCAATCCATGAAACAATAGCATTTTCCATGTAACTGTAATAAAAGAATATGTTGAAAATAGGTAATGACATTTTTCATATAATATTAGTAAGAGAGTTATTATGAACTGAATAATTTATATCAACATTTTATTAACTTCCAACATTTTTCTTCATGTCTATAATTTAACTAAAACAAATGTATTAGTATTATTCTTCTGAATTTTTAAAAATATACATTTCCTCTTCTATATAGCGTTATTTAAAAAATCTCACCTCAGTTTGGAAGTTGAGCCACTCGTCCACATCCATGGATGATCACTGCTGTTACGAGAGACTCCAATCCATGATAGAAGTGATAGGGAATGCAGAAATTTCTACCCCAAAATAAAGAATTTTCATTTAAATAATGATTATGACAGCTTTTATTATTTTTAAAAATGCAAGTAGTGTATTCTTTCATAGGATCCTTAATTTTCAGTACTAAATGAGAGTGTTAGACTCTAATCTAACACTAGAGGTGTATTAAAGTTGAAAACCATCTTTCAGATTGCCAAAAGCTTTCACCAATGTTTGTAGTTTGGATTTAAAATTCAATCTTAAACATTTATACTTAGTAGTTTCATTCTTCTTCTTAGTTAATAAGGAAAATTCTGATTTATGTAATTTAATAGTTATCCATGTTGACAAAACTAACATACAAAGCTTTAAATAAGTTTCTGGATACTGTGACTAAATCAATGTATTTTTCTGTGTTTCTCAGAGTTTGGGTTTTAGAGGGAAATTAAGAGACTGCCATTGTAGAAATAAATGACATGGAAGCCAAAAATTTTATTTTCTGTGCCCCACACCATTCTTTAACTATGTAATCCCCTAATTCATTTGTTTCTGTGTTGGTGGAATCCAATGGCAAGATGAAGTGTCATAGATTCATTTCTCTCTGCTACTCCCTGCTGAGTACAACTATAAATTCTGAAACTAGTGAAAGACACAAATAAAGGAAAACTCTGAAAGGTGGAGGAGAAAGGAGAAATGGGTTGGGTCCCTAGGATTAGGAGACAAGAGTGACAGGGCATCTTATATCCTCCATGCACCAGAAGAAAGTGACCTAGGCTGTTGCTTCCCAACGCTCAACCTAGAAATAGGAGGTGGCTCAGGAAAGCCATTCCTCCTCTGTCTTGAAGGGAATCCTGTCCAGCAACACCAGGCAAGCCTTACAAGGGTTTTCTGTTGGGAAACCTGCTAAGAATAAGCAGCCAGAAGAAGTGTGTCTCCTCCCCAACCAAGAGACACCAGGGTGTACGTGGAAGGGGAGGGAGGAATGTGGGACTAGTAAAGGGGATCCTATGACTAAAAGTACTCTACTCAGGAAGCCTCTTTATCCCTGAGGGCGTGAGACTCATGTCCTCAACCAGGGACATCGGATAGAATGGTTTTTTAAAATGTTACATTCACATAATTGAGCAGTGAAAATTAACAAACTAACATAAATGCAATAATATGGATGAATTGCAAAAATATCATACAGGAGTGAAAAGAGACAGGAAGAAAAATGCATACTGTATGATTCCATTAATATGAAGATCAAAAACAAGCAAGGAGACCTTACAATATTAAAAGTCAGGACAGGGGTTAAATATGGCGAAAGAAGTGATGAGACAGTACACAGAAACAAGAAAGTTAGGGGCTGGAAACTTTTATTTTATGATCTGATTTGTAATTACATGGTTCTATTCACTTTGTGATCAACCTGCACAATTATGGTATGTTTAGTTTCCTTGATGTATGGTAAAATTAAATAGCAAAGTTTATTTTAGAAAAAAAAATTTATAGAAACACAGTTTTCTGTGAAAAGCAAGAACTGGAAATTATCAAAAGTGCATTAGTGATATAAAGTCAAACAATGGAATATTATAAACTTAAAAAAATACACTGCAAATATGTACAAAAATATGGATGATTTTCACAAATATAATATTGACTGAAATAAGCTTTAAATAAAATGCTGGAAACATTTAAAATCTTACCATTTCTTCTTCATTATCTATGTAAAGCAGGTTAGAGTTCTTAGAAGCACAGGCCATCAAACTCTCATTCCATGATTTTCTCTCAACACTAATGTAATAGCAGTTGTTGGAATATGTTAACCACTCCTTTGGACAACGACCACAATGATATGCTGAAGAAAGATTACGAATTATTATCCAAGAACAATTTGAATTTAAAAAAATGAAAATTAACTTACATATTTGCATAGGTATAAACATATATGTCCGTAGCTTATCTATGTGCCTTCCCAGGTTGGTACATATAAAACAAAACACACTCACACACAGACTTACAGAGAAGGGTCAGCCTTTCATCCCCTAATTTATATGTTCATATAAAGCAAATGCGCAAACGAAAATATTCACTCTACATATCTCCTGAAATTCAAAGAACAAAACCACTTTTTTAGAATAGTAATGTTATCTCTTATCAGTAGAAAATTTGAGCCAATTGGCAACAATGGGTATGAAGATTGTAAATGAATATTTCTTCATATTGTTGCATAAGAAGGAATACTCTACTATAATCGTTTTTTATGAACATTTGGTACCCGATTTTGTAATTCATTTCCCCCTCTAAAATCTATTATCATTTTTAACTAGCATAAGATAGAGACAAAATAAAAACTATATTAATATTAGAAATTTGAAAATAATTATATACCTTTCTGGCTCCTTCTTATCAGGGATGAATTGTTCTGCCCCAGGGTTACGGTAGCTAGAAATAGTAAAGTAATTATTATAAAAATTAATATTGATCTATATAAATCATAATAATTTTAGTTTCTTTGAAACTTGATGTATTGTTTAGAATTAGAATAATCTGGAAAAATATGATTTTACCAAAAAAATAATAAAGTAATGAAGATTGGGGGAAAATATTTCCAACCTAAAGGACAAACTTCACCATGTGTTACAATATTTGGTTTAACCAATCTCAAGAATTAATTTATATTTCTCAATAAGATTGTTCAGTCTCCTAAAGCATGTATTTGAGCTATGAAATCAGAATATATATCTGTATATGTATGTATAATACTCTCTTCAATCATTCTGTTATTTATAATTTGACTAATTCAGGATAATCATTCCACATTTGGTCTAAATGCATACATTAAAATGAGAGTTCTATCCCACAATATTATAAAATTTATAAAGGCACTGACAATCATTAAAGTGAAAAGTTGTCTTATAATCTTTCAAAATTTACTTACAGGGACTAAAGAGTATCATTTTTACTACAATGTACATCAAGACAAGGCAGATGATTCCCAGGATCCCAGCAATGAGCTTCTCTGGAGGTGATGGAAAATCTGCACGGAGAAAAATGGAAACATTGAGACAGCAGAGATGGAGACAATTGTTTAGAGAGTTTGCATATAAGAGAACCCACATGCACAGGGAATCGCGTATATAAAAACTTAGATCCCAAACCCGTATCTACCATTGTAATCTTACTCTCAGAATATATTATTGTGTTTTCAGTAAATATACTCCTCCGTGAATTGTTGGTCAAAGACTACAAATTACAACAATGCCTGAATAAAATTAGTCCTCAGATTTCATATTAGAATACTGTATTTCAACTTCAAGCTCTGATCCTCACAGATAAAAACTATGTGAGCTTATTCCCTATGCTTTCACCATACCTCTGTGTCCCAGCTGCACATCCTAAACAGTTACACTGTTTGTCTATTAAATGTTTTACTTTTGCAGAGGTCATTCTTCTCATTCCTTTGAAGGTCTTGAGAAGCATTTTGAAGGTTTAATTCCACATAAGTTATTTCCTGTTCAGTTACTGAAATGGAACTTTAGTGTCTTTACCTTTCATTTGCTGTCTCCTTGAGTCCTTAATCACATTCAGTTCTGAATAGATTTCTCTTTGGTTATTCATCTCTGCAGCTGAGTAATGACAGGGACTGTGCTCTATGATAACTGTACTTAAGTAGTTAATAGATGCTGTATGTAGTGACAAGATCCTTAGTATAGTCAAATGGGTGGAGTGTGAGGTAATAGTACTTGTTTTGCAGTTGAATAGTGTAAAAGTCTGGTTCTAATTTCCTTAGAGTTTTAAATAAGTGTTTCACGATAGAATAGTTTAGATAGATAATTTTTAAAATGATATTCTACATTTGACGCAATGTTATTGGTTGGAGTAATGAAAAGCAATAAATGAGTGAGGAATAAAGAAGTCCATGAATAATAGTATCCTTATTAATTTAAAGTCAGATTCCACAGAAACATTTTAAGAATGTTAGAATAACTGTGTTAATTTAAAATGCTATATTGGAAAAAAAATGATGCACCAATTTTCATGATGATTTTTAAATCCACTAGTGGTTAAAGATTTAGTGTCATAAAATTGGGGGAAGAGTAGTGTTAGCATATATAGTTTTCTGTACTAAATTACTTGTAATTAGTATTGGGGTGGTGAACATGATGTAATCTATGCAGAAATAGAAGTATAATGATGTACACCTGAAATTTACACAATGTTATAAACCAATGTTACTGCAATAAACAAAAAATTAAAAAAAAAAGTGGATGAGGTGTTATCAAATGGTATTTTATTTTGAATGATTGCGCATTTTTAAGGAATCGTTAAAATTTTAAAGAAATATTTTATATGTTGACAACTTTGACATGACACACTAAATTATCCAAACCTAAGAAATAATGAGAACAAAACAACATAAAAATAAGTTAAAAAGCAATTATTTTGCACAACTAATTTTCAATTGATTTATCAGCTAAAATATGAAGCCATAAACTGTAAATAAAGTGTAGGTCATTTATGGAAGAACACAATTTGTGCAAACTTCTAGAAAGATCCTATAGCTGTCAAAGTTGGTAAGAGTAGCTTTAGTTGTGTAAACAATTGTAACAAATGAGATAATGTAATTTAATAATTCAGTCAATGGGCTCTGTAGTCAGTAAGATTTGGAATTAATTCTGGTTTTGAAACTTACAATATGTGATCATTAAAAAGTTACTTAGTGTCTAGCAACCTAGTTTTCTAACCTAAAAATGGGAATAAAAAAATGTATGCTATAATGCATGTAAAACACTTAACACTCAAATCCGTCATTTATAAGCTTTCAATAAAATGTTAGTTATTTTAATTATTATTTTAACACATTTACCAATTTATTTTTTCTGAACTATATCAGTTAGACAATATAACAATTCATTAGACAGGAGTCTCTTTATCAGTGTGCTATACACTTCAATTTTTTAAAGTCTTTTGATTGTTGATAATTAAGTTTAAATTAGCATTTTGTGGAAATTACATCATTCTGATTTTTATTAAAAATCAAACGACTTTTATTTTTTCTAAGTAAATGTATGGGGGATTACATTTCACCTTCATGATTGGATGAGTGCATTTTAAGAATCAATTTTTAAAGGCAGGGCTAATTATAAAATAATATATAAAATAATATCTATATGGATTACAAAATACGAAATTAATTGTTTATGGTCATGATCCTTAGGGGATTTCACTTTAAACTATATTGATTTACAAATAAAATATGCATGTCTGTATACACTAGACTAATTCTCCACAGACAAGAATTTGAATATTTAAGAAATCCTCCAACATATTTCATATTTTATGCTTGTTTTTAACCCTGAGATATTCAGATAAAGATATCAAAATTCTTTTTGATTAGATTGTATATTAATTATTGCATTATCTCCAGCATTTGTAATCTCCCACTAAAGGAGATTGTCTAGTAGAGGGACAGGAGAGTAGTGTCACATACCTTCTGTTGGCCAGAGTTGTGCATCCTCTAGTGGGAGACTAGGTTATTCTTGTAAGCAAACAATATCTGTGGTCTTCACAGACTGCCCTGTGAAGGTTCAGAGTGAAACAATAGTGGACAAAGTAGATTTCTCATCAATGTGTCGCTTATAGTTTGAACAGGAAATTCTTACACTCGGGCTATTTTGAAGACAGTTGATCTCCTCACACACCCCAGGATACAGGAGACTTTGAACTTGTAGTGTGTCATTTAGTTTGCCCGTTGTCAAGTGACTCTGAGACATTGTTTTCATATTCTAAAAGATATCAGGGGACAGACTTTACCCATGCAATTAATCTGCTTCTATCTCAATCACAAACACTGAAAATTTAGGCCTTGTTGAGAGTATCTTAGATGTTTAAGTTCTACTTTTAGATAAGATTGCTAAATTTTGTGATTTCATACTCTTTTCCTTATACTCTCATTATGTCATTTCTATTATAACTGAAAAAACTCTAAATCATAATCCTATTAACAATAGATATTTAATGATATTTGTCACTAATTATTCTGAAGAATTACTATATTTTCAACTTTATTGTACGTGTCACAACGATCATCAATTCCTAAACTTTTTTTCTCAGTTTCTCTGCCATAGTTCTTAAAATTCCCACATTCAATTTTATTACTCATAAATAAGTTATTTAGATCTCCCCTGATAAAAATAAATATCTCTGGGAAAGATATCACGTTAAACAATATTGAACTATATCACCATGCCAGAGATTGAAATGTTAAATTACTACTCATTATATTATTCATGATTTAGCCTCAAATGATAACTAATTGTCTGTATTTTAATGGGAATACTTGTAGTTAATGACAAAAACCCAAGTCTAACTATGGAGGGGCAAAATAAAGGTAATTTTTAAAAATTTCACTAACCAAAAAATGGGGATGGCTGAAAAAATAGACTTTTAAAAAACATGTTAAATGACACATGAACATCAAAAGAAATAAAACATTAAATCTAAATGATCTAATTTGTATCAAATGGAATTGATTTATCATTCCTCTTCTTGTATCAAGAAAAGAGGCAATGTTTATCTATAATTCCTAAGGAAATTAAAAATGGAAGTACCATATGATCCAGCAATCCCACTTCTGGGTGTATATCCAAAGGAAATGACACCACTATCTCGAAGTGATATCTGTACTCCCATGTTCATTGCAGCATGAGTCACAATAACTTAGCTATGGAAACAACCTAAGTGACTATCATTGGATAAACGGACAAAGAAAATGTGGTTTATGTATACAATGGATTATTATTCAGTCATAAGAAAAAAGAAATCTTGTCATTTGTGACAAGGATGAATCTAGAGGGCATTATGTGAAGTGAAGATGGTAGACACAGAAAGACAAATACTGCATGGTATCATTTACACGAGGACTCTAAAACACAAAAAGAAAAAAAATTCAAACTCAGAAAGAGCAGAAAACTGGTTGCCAGGGACTGAGGGGTGGAGAAAATAGGGAGAGGTTGGTAAAAGCATACAAATTTTCAATTATAAGATGAATAAGTTTTGTGGATCTAGTGTATAACATGGTGACTACAGTCAATAAACTGTATTGCTTATAGTTGAAATTTACTAAGAGAGTAGAACTTAAATGTTCTCACTCAAAAACAAGGTGAAAGAATCCAATTGTTATGCAATCCTGCTGAATACAAAAGCTCTAGAAGAAAATTCTATATGTTTTACCTCATTCTTTAAGTGCAACTTTTTAAAGCCTTACAAATGATTCCATTACTTATTATGAGAGTAACATTGAGGTCAGAAAATTATGTGATTAAAGTATGGGGTCTTATAAACCTGCAATTTATCAGCACAAAAGAACAAAAAAAGCTAACCCAAACAACTTTCCCTAAGTGAATGACATGCTTGTTCATTAGGAAAAAAGGTTAGCAGGTTTTCCTATTTTTGAGACAAAAAGGTTGAATTATTTAGAGTTACAAGCTTGATTTTCATGCTGTAACTTTTTAATTTTTTAAACTAATAAGTGAAGAAATGTGTTTGGCATCAAGGATGTTATTTCCACTACATCATTGGAGAGAGAAATAATCTGATTGATGTGTTTACTTTTTAACCAATTGGCCTAGTTGCGTAAATAGTCTAAAATGAGTTACATGGGCAATATTCACTAAAAAGAAAATTATGTAGACTCAGGTATCATGTTTACTCATCATGGTTTTTTGCCACTCTTTTTCTAGTTATTTTTTCTCTCCTCTTCCTTTTTACTTTGTCCCTAAGCTGTCAGAATCAATAAATGTTATAGGATAATGTAAACATGGCCTTCTAAACTCTGAAGCACTAATAGGCAAAAAATTACCATTCGGTCTGGTCTCTCCGCTTCTGGTGGGGTTAGTGTGCAAAGTGAAATAAGTCAGAGGGAGAAGGTCAAATACCGTATGATCTCACTCATTAAGTAGAAGATAATAACAACAACAAACAAACACATAGAGACAGAGATTGGATTGGTGGTTACCAGAGGGGAGGGGGGGAGGGAGGAGGGCGAAAGGGATAGTTCGGCACATGTGTGTGGTGATGGGTTGTAATTAATATTTGGGTGGTGAACATGATGTAATCTATGCAGAAATAGAAGTATAATGATGTACACCTGAAATTTGTACAATGTTACTGCAATAAACAAAAAATTAAAAAAAAATAAAGTTGTATCAAAAATAAATAAATAAATAAAAGTAACTTTTAAACAAATTCTATCATTGACAAGTGATGACTGTTATGAATAAATTATGAAAAGAATGGATGAGCAGCTTCAGCAGGTAATGAAAGAAACCCTGTAAATGACATAAATTGTAAATCTAATTCTTAGAAAAATGAGATATATTATGTATTATATATGATTTGTCTATAAAACAAATTAAAATTTTCACAATTTCTAAGCTGAAATTTACTCAGACTAAGGAAATCACAGTCTGGTTAAGGAAATTCACATGCCACTCTTTTGTAGTAACCATAAAACAGCCAGATAATTTCTATGCAGATGAGATCCAATAATTTTACCCCGTCAGATCCATATCTTGTGGATTTTCCAACGCCTTTATGGAAGAAATTCTGGTTAACTGGTATCTATTACTATCCATCTTTTGCTATACTCTTATACTGGTCTGT